CAGGAGGCAGCGGGCCCAGCAAGCCCAATCGCCCCGAGGTATTTCCCGTTGGCCCCCACCCGAAATTGCTGGCCGTTGATGCCCCACTTCTGAAAACTCAGAGTTGAGCTCGGCTCTGTCGTCGATCATCGCCAGCACGAGCGCGCGCTTCTTCAGGTTCGGGGGCAATCCAGCAACTACCCAGCCCCTGAGGAAGTCCTTCATCCGCGCGGACAGGGACCGTCTCGCATAGGCCATCGCAGCGCCGACGTCACCTGCAAATAGAGAGAGAGAGGTAGGAAACGCAAGGCGACGCAACATCCGCGCCCATGTGCGAAGCGCAGGGTCAGAAGCCAAGGAAAAAAAAGGCGGCTGACAGCGGGCCCCCTTGCGTGATGCCACGAGCAATTCGGTGTCCGTGGAACCTTTCCCCTCCGAAGATGATGCGCGAATAGAGATCGGAGTAGCGCTGGCCAACGACGTGCAGGATGGAGTCGGGGGTGCCCATGCGTCGCAGCACATGCAAAATCCACCAATGCGCCAGCGACGGACAGGCCGCCCTAAGATCCAAATGAACATGGCCGCTGCCCAAGGGGCAGTCGCAGAAGCAGGCGCGTTCTATACATTCCCCCTCGGCGTCAAGTGCGCCATCGGTCAAGCACCTGCTCTTCGCGAAGCCCTGTTGTGCCTGACCGGCTGAAAATAGAGCCCGCTGCCCTGTTCGCGCGCTTATCGAACTCGCCAGAAGCTCGACGCCAGCGCTCCCGAGAGCAGTCGGACGCGCTTGGCTGGACGGTCGGACATTCACTCGCGAGTCGCAGGCTGGGGGGGGGGGGGGGGGGGGGCGCGTCGGTCGGGGCGGCCGCCGGGCCGCAATTGAACCCAGAAGGCAGCGCCGCAAATGAACACAAGGCCTCGCATGCATCACGCAGCACTCGGTGAGCTCGCCCCCCCGCGCGCCCCCAGCGCGAGGAAGGATTGCCGCCGCGGCCGCGCGCAGATCCACGCCGACTAGCGACGACGACGCGGGGGGCCCCGAAGTCCATGTTCCACTCGGCGCCTGGAACGACCCTCGAGATATCAGCGCCCCCCCACCCCCCCAGGTTTGCCATGAATCTCGGGCGCCGCTGTCCATATTCCAGAGGGTGAACCCCCCCCGACGCGCGGCGATGGTCCGAGCGTTTTCTCCCGAGGAGCCAGCGTAAGTTGAGGTGCCGCCTCTTGGGCGACCAAGACTTGAGACGCTGGAGAAGCTGAGTTCGCTGCTGCTCCAGTTCCTGCAAGTCACGGCCTGAGCTCGGCAGCCGCGATAGATCCTCGTGGACGTTGGCGCAGCTCTGCCAAAATCCATCTGATCCGAAAAGCAACCACTGTCGGCGTCGATAAACCTGAGCAGCACGGGATAGGATTTCAAATGCTTCACCCAGAATTCCCCTCCGCCCCAAACGCACTCGGGGGGGGGGCCCTCGTGGCCGGCGCAAATAAAGGAAGCGCGCCGCGATGTTTTGCACGTGAGTCTGGGCCCCGCCCCTGGGCGTTCTCTGCGTCAGCTCATCCCTCGCGGTAAAAAATCTCCTCGGCGCGAGCAGCTGCTGGAAAGGGATGCCGTCGAGGCCTGCGTCGTCGACGGAAGATTCGGTCGCCTGGCCGAGCTCGGGGCGATCAGGGGCCCATCGCGGAATGCTCTGACACTTCGCTGACCCAAGAGACACAGGCGGGGGCGCAGGCACCCGGTCGGACACCTCATCGATAATGCGCGCGGAGCCGCTCGTTTCCAGACTTGGGGCGCCAATCAAGAATCTCGCTGGCGGGGGCATTGGCGCAAATCCTTTCCAACCTGGCGACCGGCGCGACGACGTTGCGCGCGCGGGCCCCGCGCGCGCGGCCAGGCCGGGCAATCTCGCAGAAGGTCGGGACAACATAGCCGACGCGCCTTGCCAGGGCGGCGCTGCCTACAGCGGGCTCGCTGCCGAAGAGAAGGGCGCGAAAGTCGTCTGCATCGGCGAAGTTGGAATCGCCGGCCAAGAACGAGAGGCGCAGATCCTCTCTAGGAATCGCCCGAGCGGCTCGGAACAGGCGGTCGCACTTAGCATCCCGAGAACGTCCGGAGCCGCTCTCGCCGCGAAGCCGACCGTGGCGGCGCCGCCCGTGATCGACGCGCAATACATCTGGCTCGCCCCCCTAACCAACTCATCGCAAACAAGCGCAGCGAAGCCGCGCGGCCGCCGCTAGCAGAGTTAGAGCACAAGGGGCCGACATGCACGCGGGAGAGGGAGTTGAGCTCGACAGAACTTGAGTCGCCTTCAGATGCGCGGGCTTCCTGGCACAGCACAGCGCCATACATGCCGAGAAGCCGCTATCTCTGAGCGCTTCTCGTTGCTTTGCCTCGCGCGCGAGCCAGGCGCGCCGCCGAACAACTTGGCCGAGGAGGCTTCGCCGCGCATGCGATCGTCAAAGCCGGGTTGGCGAGGGCCGTCTCCCAGGTGGCGCCGAGAGCGAGCCGGACATGGGCGGCGCCAGATATCTGCTGAGGAAGCTCCTACTCAGCCACAGCTGCGCCTGGGTGCGGTCCGCGAGGCCGTGCGCGAACCTGTCAGTCACGTGCATGTGCCTGGAGCTCCAGATGTCGACGTCAATGTCGCACGAGCACCCATTGGCGCTGAGGCTGACTGTCTCCTTCAGAATGGCCCACTCGCGCGGGTCACCGTTGCCCACTCGGTAGAGAGCCCCCTGCAACGGGTTGGTGCACAAGCTTAACGGAGGCCGCATTCCACAACTGGTTCGCCTTCATCTCCGCCAGGGTGATGTCCTGCGCGATGCCGAGAGCGCAGGCTCCGCGCCGAGCTGGCAAGAGGCTGGTCCTTGCCCAAGCGCAGAACATGAGGCTCTGCTGCGAAGGCCGATCCACTTCAAGCTGATGCCCTTGAAATGCCCCCATCAGGCGTCGGCCTGGCCCTTGTTGTCGACGTCGACTGCGTAGGAAAAGCTTGCAACTCTGGAACTTAGCCGTATCCTTCGTCACCAGCTCAGCTAGCACATTTGCCTCGGGAGTCGAGTCGTGCGCCACGAACTGTGGTTGCATGAACTTGCGCGGGAAACCCCGGACCCAAAGCCGAAAAAGGATTACTGTCCTCGTAAGGTACCGAAGCAGCACGCTGCCGCCTCCCGTGAGGCCCTGCAGGAGGAGCCGATGTCCCCCAGGATGCCGTGGAAGCGGTCGGTGGTGGGTCGCGCGGTCACCTGCTCCTGAGGCTTGACGAAAACACTTCCCTGATCTGGAGGTACACCAGCACCTAGAGCGACGGGCTTCGCGCTGAGGTCTGCGAAAGTATGTTGGTGGCATCCTGAAAAAAGGAATCATCTTGGACACGTTAGCGGTCATCGTGGCCTCGCTGGCCCTGACCTTCTCGCCGAATTGCTGGCAGTCGTCGATGCTGTGGCCCAAGGCGCTGAAAGGAGCCCTGATCTGATTCTGATCGCTTTCCTCGACTGAAGAATCCATCGTGTGGACAGTGACGCAACAAAATCATGTGGATGGCTAGGCGAAGGACTCGCGACGCAGGCGCCCCCGCGGAGAAACTCCAGTCGGACGCTCGAGCCGCACCCTCGGCAACGTCCAAGTTCGAAGCGCCAGGGACGCACGTCTCGACCTTGAGCAAAAATGGCAGCGGAATGGTGACGATGATGGTGATTGTGATGATGATGGCGATGATGTCATGATGGTAGCATGATGGTGAGTGAGCGAATGCTGAATGAATGTGAATGAAGGAGTGATTGAGTCAACAAGAAAAATGATGGTGATCAGGATGTTGACGGCCTATGGTCATGATGGGATGGTCATAGTGCTGTTGATGACGACGACGACGACGACGACGACGACGACGATGATGATGATGATGATGATGATGATGATGATGATGATGATGATGATGATGATGATGATGATGATGATGATGGTGCGCGATGGTGGTGATGATGACGATGATGATGATGATGATGATGATGGCCGATGGTCATCAGGACGATCGCGATGAGTGTGAGGGAAGCAGGAGGATGAGAGGGGGCGGGTTCCTGCGCCCAGTGACAAGAGACAACAAACGTCCAACTTGGGATTTGGAGGAAAACAACACACGAGAAGAACCGGACGCCGCCACACAGGTCCTCCTGGTGGGGGCCCAGCGACCCCAGCACAGGGGAAACGGGAGCTGAGGGAAACGGGGGCGTTCCCCCACTGGCCATCGTTCGGACGTCCATTCCCTGTGTTTTTTCGGTTTCGTGCGTGGTTGTTTTGCCAAATGATCAAGGATGATCCTCGATGGTCCTCGCCGAAGGAAAAATGCACACGTCCGAGCGATGCCAAGCCCAGGGCGAGATCTTCCTCGTGAACCGCTTTCTGACGGCCCCGGGGCCCGTGAAGGCCCCAAGAAGCCAAACGCGGCGAAGAAAACCTCAGGACCCGTTTCCCCCAGGAACCCTTTTCCACCACGGCGAGCATCCCTGGAGCCCTGCACAACATGGGCAGGAAATGTCATTAGTCATTGCACTTTTTCCGTGCCCATGTCGATCGTCCCGATAAGAAGCCTTCCCCCCTCCCCCCTTCTGGGGAAACCAAAAGATTCCGATACCGCTACTTTCCGGACCTCTCCTTGGGTGCGCTCTGACCAGACTGTCGAGGCGAATCCAGCGGCGGCGACGAGGGCCCCGCAGGAGGCCCCAACAGGAGAAAACGGCCGAAGGTTAGCGGTATGTGTACCTCTTCCTGCTCTGACCCTCTGACCCTCCTCCTCTTTTTTCTCTACCTCCTCCTTTTTCTCTTCCTCCTCCTCCTCCTCCTCCTCCTCCTCCTCTTTTTTCTCCTCTTTTGTCTCATCCTTTTTCTCCTCCCCCTCCTCCTCCTCCTCCTCCTCCTCCTCCTCCTCCGCCTCCCCCTCCTCCTCCTCCTCCTCCTCCTCCTCCTCCTCCTCCTCCTCCTCCTCCTCCTCCTGCTCCTACTCCTCCCTCTGCGCGAGGCCGAAACCTTTCTGTGCCTCGAACGGCGAGCGCTCCGCGCGCGCCGCTCCCGCGCGCGCCGGCCACGGCGCCCGCGCCGAGCGGCCAGTGCCGCGCCCGCTCGCCGCGGGAGCGGCCTCCAGCGGGCCTCCTGGCGTTTCAAGGGGGGGGGTGTAGGGGAAGGAGGAGGAGGAGGAGGGGGAGGGGGAGGAGAAGGAGGAGGGGGAGGAGGAGGAGGAGGAGGAGGAGGAGGAGGAGGAGGAGGAGGAGGAGGAGGAGGAGGAGGAGTCACGTCGTCGTCGTCGTCGTCGTCGGCGTCGTCGTCGTCGGCGTGCTCGTCGACGCCATAGCAATATGAACATCCAAGAGCGCACCGCTGCCCCCTCAAATCCCCCAAACGCCGAGGCGACCCAGCGGCCAATGAGGAGGAACAAACAGGAGGAGAACAGGAGCAGGAGGCGTAGGCTCGGTTCGTACGAGTCGACTCGCCAGGCACGATTCGCCCAGCACGAGTCGCCCGGGTCTGGATTCGCCCAGCGCGCCACCGAGTTCTGCTGTCGGGTCCTAGCTCGGGTCTCTGGCGGCCATTCGGAACGATCTGGGCATCCCCGAAACGCTATCGACGAGGCGCAGCCGCAGGAACGAATCCCGAGCGCGGAGAACAGCCAAGGAATTACGAAAACGCTCGAGAACCTGGAACCTCGAACCCGAAACTTCACCCCCTCGCTCGCCGCCGAAGAGAGGTCGATCCGACGCGGCGGCGGCGGTCCTCACACAGAAGACAGCCAGGCCGCAGCGACCGACGCCGCGGCCAGCCCCGCGAGGCGCAGCGGGGCGGCGGCGGAGCAGAACAGGCGCTCCTCGGCGCCCACGGGCTTTTCCGCAGGTTCCCCCTCGCCCTCCCCCTCCTCCGATCTACTGCTCCCGGTCCTCCTGCTGATCCGCCCCAACCTCCACCTCCACCTCCACCTCCACCTCCACCTCCACCTCCACCTCCACCTCCTCCTCCTCCTCCTCCTCCTCCTCCTCCTCCTCCTCCTCCTCCTCCTCCTCCTCCTCCTCCTCCTCCTCCTTTCTTAACGTTAGACTAACGTGAGGAACTAGCCTGTCGGTCCTCCTCGTCCTCCTCCTCCTCCTCCTCCCTCCTCCTCCTCCTCCTCCTCCTCCTCCTCCTCCTCCTCCTCCTCCTCCATGTCCTCCTCCTCCTCCTCCTCCTCCTCCTCCTCCTCCTCCTCCATGTCCCTCCTCCTCTTCTTCCTCCTCCTCCGTGTCACTTCTCCTCCCTCCTCCTTCTACAACGAGAGGCGAACATATCCGCCCCCGCGCCTCCGCGGTCTGGACTTCGCAGCGCGATCCCACGGATGCGCGGTCGCACGAATACGCTCTGCGCGGGGCATCCGCGAAGAAGATGCTCCGCATCCGCGGGGTCGCGGCCCAGGGGCCCCGCCCACGAGGCCTCGGATACACATTGGCCCACGAGTCTCCATCTCGATCGCCGGGACAGATCGAGCGAGCGGGGGAGCGCCCATCTGGCCCCAGAGGACGTAGAGCCGTCCCTGTTTGTGAAGGGGCCCTAGGACAAACAAATAAATAGACACAAATAACAGGATTCCCCATATTTTCTCATACCCCACACAGTCGCTTGCATTACCCCCCGCCCCTCCCGAGGATCCCTGCGCGCCCCAGCACCTCTCTGGCACTTCCACCTTGCTTGCCAGGCGGTCCACGGAGGCCACCAAGGCCGTCAAGATGGCCCAACATTGCCCCAAGAGGCACACGGCCTCCCGCAAGAAGCCCCCCAGAGGCGCCCAAGGGGCCCCAGGGCCCCCGAGAGGCTTCAAATGCATCGAAGAGAAGGCCAATTCGTTCAGAAAACGCCATCCGAGAAGCCCTCCAGGAGGGTCAACTCGTCCCAAAAACGGACAGAACTCCTCAGGCGCTTGATTGACTTTTGAGCTGCTGTGCGTCCGGGGCCTCCCGGCTCGAGACTGTCCCAGGAGGGCCTCGGAGAAGCCGAGGACGGGCCAAACGAGCTCAATGTGGGCCTCCAGAAACCTCCGAGATGGCCCAGGACAGCCTCCTCCTCCTCCTCCTCCTCCTCCTCCTCCTCCCCTCTCCTCCTCCTCCTCCCCTCCTCCTCCTCCTCCTCTCCTCCTCCCCCTCCTCCTCCTCCTCCTCCTCCCCCTCCCCCTCCTCCCCCCCCTCCTTCTCCTCCTCCCCCCCAGGAGGGCCCAGGACACCCCGCCTATAAGGGCCCAGGACGGCCCGAGAGGGCGCCCGGAGAGCCCCGAAACGGCCCAGCAGGGCCCGCAGATGGCCCACGAGAGGGCCCATCAAAGGAGCTTCCAGCACGTCGCCGAGAGGCCCCCCAGACGGCCGAGAGCGGCCCGGGACGGCAGCAGGACGGCCCAGGAAAGCCCCCAGAGCGACACAAGAGAGCCCCAAGGGGGCCCCGTGGAACGCCAAGACAGCCCAGATACGGCACCAGTAGCGCCCGAGAAAGAAAGGCGAGAGGCGGCACATGCTACGGACTCCTGGGTGTTGCTGGAAGCGCTTGCCGCAGGCAGCTGGATACTTTGAGGTGAGAACAGGTACCACCCTTACACGCATAGAGAAAAGGGGGTCGTGCTAGACGGGTCCTCAAACTGTAGAATCACACGCATGTCTGTATGCCACGTATGTCTATCTGTAGATATGTATAGATATATGTACAAACCACACATGCGATTGTACACATACAGTGGAGGCTAGTCCACAAGAAACCTTCCACAAGAAATCCTACCCTCAGACCCCAGGACATCTGTTTTCTTGTGCGGAAGCGCCACGCTTTCCATCGCAAAACCATGGAAACCCTGGAAACCCAAGAAACCCAGGAAACCCTTGAGGCAAGCAGGGGGTTTCTTGGCATGGGTCTCCACTGCACACACACATACATATATATATATATATATATATATATATATGTATATATACACATGTATGAAAATATACATGTGTGTATATATAAACATACTGTGTGGTCGTGAGTGACAACCTGAATGACGGAAGGCACTTCAAATTCGGGGCTCCCGCCTGAACCCTGAACTGCAGGCTCCCGGTGCGCTCGTCTTGCAGGAGAGCACTTTCCCAGCAACAAATATTGCAGTAAGGACTTGTAAGGAGTGGGGAAAAGAGCGTCTGACCAAGGGCCCCCCACACTCCCAACAAGCTCGAATCGGGATGCTCGAGTTTCGAACCTCGAAACTCCTCCTCCTCCTCCTCCTCCTCCTTCTCCTCCTCCTGCTCCGTTTCCTCCTCCTCCTCCTCCTCCTCCTCCTCCTCCTCCACTTCCTCCTCCATCACTTTCCAGTGGAGCGGCTCGCGCGTCGTAGTCTCTGACCGCAAGAGCTGCTGAAAAGACACATTTTAGGATCCTGGTCCACCACTCCGCCTCATCACTGGGCGCCAGTTTGAGTGGCTGGAATGAAGTCAGCTTAAACCCCCGCGGCCAGGGAAGGCCCCCCACACCCCCACCCCAGTAGCTGTCCTCTCTGCTGCGCAGGATCCGTTGCACGGGACTGCCACAACAGCCGTGGAGCCCCAGCACAGTAGACCCCACACCACAAGCACATCACCACACTCCATTATTTTAGCAACACGCAAGGTGTGGGGGCCTGAGTCCACGATCCCATACATAATAGACCGCATATAAAAGGGGTCTTCCTCCCTCGCCCCATCCTCCTCCTCATCATCATCCTCATCATCATTGCACTCACCTCCATACTGTCGACTCTCCCAGCGCCTGCGCGCTCCAGAGGCCGCAGGATGCTCGAAGTGGCCCTGGCCTCGTGTGTCCCCGGCTTCTTGCGCCCTTTGGAGCCCCTGGGATCCTCTGGGCCTCGTGAGAGTTGCTGGAGGAGGAGGAGGAGGAGGAGGAGGAGGAGGAGGAGGAGGAGGAAGAAGAAGAAGAAGAGGAGTAGGAGGAGGAAGAGGAGGAGGAGGAGGGCAGCTCCGACCTTCGGACCTGATGCCCTCAGCGCCCTGGGCCTCTGGAGCTGGAGGCCATCTGGTGAGGATCCGATCACGTACGAAGACGAAGCCAGGACGAGAATAAAGATAGATCAGGACAATCTGGAATCTGTGAGGTCTGACGGTTCTTGCGCCGCGGCAGTTCCAGAGCGCTATGGAACACCATGTATACCAGTGGGGACGGGAACGGGCACGGGGATGGGAACAACGACGACGACGATGACGACGATGGCAGCGACACGACGACTACCAACGACGACGGCCATGGGCGGAGGCCTCCGCAGCTCTCCAGGAGCTCCCCGCGGAGTTCTCCTGCAAGTCTCTCGGAGCCCTCTGGAGGCCGCCCAACGGACCCGAACCACTCAGCAACGCAATGAAGCTCGATCCGACGACGACGACGACAACGACGACGACGGCGGCGCGGCCGCGGCGGCAGCCATCAGCGACGGCGACGGCCGCGACAGCGACGCAGGTCGGCGGCGAACCCCGGGGGGAAGAAGGGAGGGGGCAGGCCTACTCAGAAGGCGGCGGGGCTCCTCAGAAGCCCGCGAGGCCTCCCGAGGAGCACTGTACACCCTGCGAAATGCTTTAGAAATCATGGGTTAAGAAATTCATAGTCTCAGAACTTGAATAAAAACACAAAAATTCCATTCAAATCTTAGGATTTACATTGAAACATTAAGAATAATCGAGACTCTGGCCGAAAAAGTAAGTTTTCTTAAGCATCGCATAAGGTGTACGCCTCCTCCGAAGCCAGGGACGACCTCGCCCTTCTCCAGGGCGCGAAGGCTTCCGAGAAGCCCCGCCGCCTTCTGAGGAGGTCTGCCCACTCGCACGTCCCCTCCCCCTGGGCCGGCCGCCGAGCACGGCGGGGCACTGAGGCGGCAGAGAGAAGCAGCTGTGGACGGCCTCCTGGCCCCCCCAAAGTCAAGGCTGGCACGCGCGGAGAAGACTGCGGTCGAAAAGGAACTCGCCCAACCCACCGCCGACATTGCTCTTTTTGTTGGAGGCCTGGAAATAGGCACCAACACCAAAACAGGGGGTTGCCTCCACAGGGGGAAGATGATCCTGGATTTCGGTGTTGGTGGTAATATTTCGGTAACCTTGGAAGCCAGAATATTACCACCATCACCGAGATTGGGATCTTCATCCCTCGGTGGAGGCAAACCGCCGATCTTGGTGTTGGTGTCAACCTCTGGGCCTGCGATTTTTGGGGGCGTAGACACATGAATGCGACATGCGTTCGCTACTTTCCTCCGAGGCATGCGCCGCTACTCCCCAGACCTCTCCGGTGGTGCATCCTGACCACGATTTCGAGGCGAATCCAGCCGTGGAGACGAGTGCTGCCTAGGAGACCCAGGGAGGGAAAACGAAGCAGGGGTGTTCCTCCTCTCTCCCTGCCGAAGTTCGGGGAGACGTCAGACTCGGGTACGGGGGACTCTGGTCTGCCTAACGGGGGCCATCGTAAAAAGGACGAGACCCAATTTGAAATTTGACGCGGGCTCCCGCTGCAAACATCCCACGAAAACTGGACCGTCAAAATCCAGGACGCACTCGTCCAAAAACTTCGGCAAACCCGAGTTCTGGCTTACTCGAGTCTCACGCTTCCCCGGAAAGTCCGCTCCATGACGGCCGGGCTGATCGCCCGGCTCAGCTTCGACGCCTCCCTGTCGCGGGCGATGGTCTCAATGTAGCTGAGGCGCAGCATGTTGTCGAGGAAACTCGTGACCTGCGCCGAGCCGCGAAGGGATGGACCCAGAACTCCGCGTCCTGGAAAAAGTCCAGGCGGCCCGCGCTTCGAAGCATCGGGTCCCTCGGGGGCTCGGGGGGGCAAGAAAAGGTGGGTGGAGAAAGGTGCTCGGGGTCGGCAAAGGTACCCATACTGCTACCCTTGCCTCGTTTTCCCCTTGTTGGGGCCTCCTGGCAGGCCCTCGTCGCCACCGCTGGGTTCGCCCCGAAAGTCTGGCCAGAACGCAATCTGGGAGAGTTCGGGGCGCAGCGGAATCGGTGCCTGCTGCTTTCCCCAGGTGCGCCGTTCGTGCACCGTCGGGGCCACATGGGGCGTTCTTTCAGGGCTCTTTGCCTGCATAGGGGGCCACATGCGAACCCTACCCCTACCCCCCACGATTTCTGAGGGGGAGGGTGGGGTTCACTTCGTTCGAGAGCTCCCGAGCGAAGTGAACCCCACCCTTCTCTTCCGAAATGGTGAGGGGTAGGAGTAGGGTTCGCATGTGGCCCCCTACTGCAGCCCTCACCCCTCCGCCCCGCTCTGAGTCGCCCAAGTCCCTGCTGGGGATGGGCTACGTACTGGCTCAGCGCGGGATAAGTGGCGAAGCCGGTCGATCATGTCTTGAGTGAAGCGGGGGAGGGAAGGGACGGGGAAGAGAAAGGGAGCAGGAGTGGGTACGGGGGATACGGAACTGTCGCCGGTGAAATCAACAAGAGCAAATGCACTCGGCACGCATGCCAGCCGAAAGGCGTGCGCCCCAGGATACTGAACTGGCGACAGGGAAGTCAACAAGAGCAAAGCTTACTCAGCAAACTCACTGCGCAAACATACTCGCCGAAAGGCGTGCGCCCCGGTCAGTGAGCCTTCAGTGCCTCGCATGCCAACCTCCCCCCCTGTTATTCTCGTCCACCTCCACAGCGAAGAGGGGAGGGGGGGAAGGAGGAGGAGCACGAGGAGGAAGAGAACCATGTGCCCCGCTCGCTGGACCTCCTCCCTTTCTCCTCCTCCTCCTCCTCCTCCTCCTCCTCCTCCTCCTCCTCCTCCTCTCCCTCGTCCACCTCCTCCGACTCCTCCTCCTCCTCCTCCCTCTCCTCCCTCTCCTCCTCCTTCTCCTCCTCCTCCTCCTCCTCCTCCTCCTCCTCCTCCTCCTCCTCCTCCTCCTCCTCCTCCCCCTCCCCCTCCTCCTCCTCCTCCTCCTCTCCTCTCCTCCCTCTCCTCCTCCTCCTCCTCCTCCTCCTCCTCCTCCTTCCCTCCTCCTCCTCCCTCCTCCTCCTCCTCCCCCTCCTCCTCCCCTCCTCCTCCTCCCTCCTCCTCCTCCTCCTCCTCCTCCTCCTCCCTCCTCCTCCTCCTCCTCCTCCTCCTCCTCCTCCTCCTCCTCCTCCTCCTCCCTCCTCCTCCTCCTCCTCCTCCTCCTCCTCCTCTCCTCCTCCTCGTCCTCCTCCTCCTCCTCCCCCCTCCCCCCCCCCCGCCTCCGCCTCCTCCTCCTCCTCCCTCCTCCTCCTCCTCCTCCTCTTCCTCCTCCCCCTTCCTCCCCTCCTCCTCCTCCTCCTCCTCCTCCTCCTCCTCCTCCTCCTCCTCCTCCTCCTCCTCCTCCTCCTCCTCCTCCTCCTCCTCTCCCCTCCTCCTCCTCCTCCCCCCCCCCCCTCCCCCTCCCCCTCCCCCTGCCCCTCCCCCTCCTCCTCCTCCTCCTCCTCCTCCTCCTCCTCCTCCTCCTCCTCCTCCTCCTCCTCCTCCTCTTATTATTATCAGTCTCCTTCGTCTTCGTCTTATTATTATTATTATTAGCATTCGTATTATTAGTTTTATCATTATTGATATCAGTATTATTATTACTATTATTAATATTATTATTATTGTTCGTATTCTTATTCTTATTACTATAAATAGTGTTAGTGTTATTCTTATTATTATTATTAGTAGTATTAGTATTAGTATGATTTTATTATTATTATTACTACTACTACCATTATTATGATTATTATTATTATTACTATTATTATTGCTATTATTATTACTATGATTATTATTACTACTATTATTATTAGAGGGAGAGTGACAACGAATCTGAAAAGATTCGTTGTCGGGTGGGGGGTCGCCCACCCTCTCTTCGAGGTAAAAAAGAAAAAGGGAAGGGGAGAAAGGAGGGGGAGAAGGGAGGGGGAGGAAGAGAGAGAAGAGGGGGGAGAGAGAAAAAATGGAGGAGGAGGAGGAGGAGGAGGGGGAGGAGGAGGAGGAGGAGGAGAAGGAGGAGGAACGGAAAGGAAAAGGAGAAAGAAGGGAAATGACCTCAGGAGCCCCAGGGAGCCTCAGGTAGGGGGCAGGAGCCACTCTGGCGACTCGGACTGAGGTGATGCCGCTGGGAACGGGGCCAGCAAGGTGGTTGCTGGCCCTTGTGGCTCCATCGTGCTGGCGCCGCCCCCGTTGGCATAGCCCAGGAAGGGGGAGGCGAGTGCGAGAGTTGGATGCGCATGTGGCCGCATGTCTTTCCAGCGCTCGGCCTTGCCTCGGCGCCCACGCGGAGCCTCCACATGTGCATCCAGCGACGACGACGACGACGTCGGCGGCAGCGGCGTCGACGACGACAGCGGCGAAGGCGACGGCGACGGCGACGACGGCGACAACGACGACGACGACGGCGACGGCGGCGACGGCGACGACGCCGACGACGAGAACCTCGATCCCCCCCGCGGCCAGGAGCGCGCTGGCGGCCCGGCCTCGACAGGGGGTCATTTCTGGCGTCATGATGGCCATTGGGGCTCAAGAGGCAGCGTCGAATCTGTCACGCAAGCGTTTTTTCTGCACTCACCTGTCGTCTCATATTGATCCAGATTTTGAGGATATTCTCAAAAACATAGACCTGACAGAATTCATCCACCCATTGCAAAGCTATGGAGTGTACTGTATTGGCGATGCGGAATCCAGTGGCGCTGCCGCGCGATTCCGCCACCGCGCTCGGGCGGGCGCCTGGGGAAGCGCGCAGGGGGGAGAGGCCATGGAACGTCGGCGCGTTTTCCTTGGAAAACCAAAAACGCAGAGACTTGGTCACACAAATGAACCGCATGTTGGGCTCGATGCGCCTCCATTTATTGCTTTGTAAGGAGCGAAAGGGTTCGAGACACATCCACTGCTGCAAGCGCGGTGGCGGATATTTGAAGGCAGAAGAACTGACGTCGCTCGGCACTCCTCTGGTGAGTGCACGCAAGCTATTGAAGATGTGCAGCATGGATGACTCGCAATTGAAGCAATCTTCCAAGGATGCCAAGCGTTTGACACCAACGCCGCCGCCACCTCCTGCCAAAGTGGCAAGGCCTCCTGCGACAAAGCCGCATCCACGCAAACTGATGGAGAAACATTTGAACGACTTCGTCGCGAATGCTGCCGTCGAATCTTCCATGGAGTATGAATTGCAGAAAGTTGCGTGGGCGGCCGCAGAGAACGGTTCAATCATTGAGGATATGGACATTTCAGCTATGATTCGATATTTTGGCCTCAGCCAGTACCAAGCGCGTGAGCTCAAGATTTTACAGGAGAAGTTGACCGAGCTGATTATGGAGCACGGTAGCTTTGAGCAGTGTTGATTGTGATTGATCATGAGCAACTGAGGCTGGTTTGGTTCAAAAGCTGCGCATTGCAATCTCACATTTCTCAAGCGAGCACGCTTGGCTTGGGTCAGCCGCTCACTATATTGAGTGTGATAATTGCATTTCAGACCGGCTCAGGTATGGCTCTGGTCATCCATTCGCAACATTGACGGTGATATACTATGGAGATGATATTTCAGACCGGCCACATTGTTTTCAAGTACTCTGTGATTGATTGCGATGGGTGGCTGATCATTATTGAATTCTCACAACGAAAGATTTCAGCCGCTTGCAATATTGATCGCAGTATGACTCGTGACTGATTCTATTTCGGCCGCCTGCAATATGGATTAATTGATCAACGAAAGGATAAGTCAGACAGGCTTATTAATTCCCATTGCTTTTGCCGCGCAATCTCAGATTTTATCATGCGAAGGATTTGGCCTGGGCCAATCGCTCGCGGTGTTTTCAGCAGGCTTGAAGGCATGGCTTGGGCCAGCCAAGGCGTGCTCTTGCGCGGTGACATGGCAGATCCATGGAAAACTGGCGGCGGAGACTCAGGAAGGGAGAGAGGAGATGAGGGCCCCCAAGGGCTTGCATCCTCAAGAGGAGGAGAAGGAGAAGGGCTCGAGGAATGAATGGGGCAGGAGGGAGAAAACGAAAAGAAAAAGGGAAGGCAGCATCCTTCATCTTTGCACAATGACAATTTTACTTCAACATGTACTAGGGACACACGGTGGAGCAGTCGATTTGTCGTTCTAACAGTGTACAACAATTACACTGATGGAGGGCGGTCGGTTTCCAATATGAGGCTCTCGCTTTGGTGCCGCGAACATGTCCTCCTTCCTAGCCATTCCTCGCTTCTCTCCTTCTTCCCCACATCGACATTGCGATGGCTTGAAGGGTACTGTTTTGCCATTGCTTGAAGAACGAAGAGCCCGCGAAGAACTCTGAAAGACAATCGCAACAGGCATTCAACATACAATCTACTACACCTATCAAACTCCCGCCCCAAAACAGCCATGTTTGACCTCTGCGGCAGGCAGAGCAGAGTTGGTGCGTTTGACATTGCGAATGACTGTTGCTTCGCCACTGCTTGAAGAGAGGCGCACCCACAGTAGTCTCTGAGAGACAACCGCAACAGGAAATCAACATAAAATCTACTACACTTATCAAATTTCCTGTCCAAAGAGCAATGTTTGATCTCTGCGGCACAAAGAGCAGAATTGTTGCGTTTGACATTGCGAATGGCTATTGCTTCACTAGCGCACGAAGAACAGAGAGCGCGCAACAGTTCTGAGAGACAGCCACAACAGGAAATCACCATACAATTTACTACACCTATCAAACTGCCGCTCATAAGAACCTGACTATTTCTCTCTTCCTCCCTCTCCTCTCTCTCCTCTTCTCCCTCCTCTT